TTCCCTTGCCCTAATGTTCGCCTTTCTTCGTCTCGGAAAGGTGACCCGTCGAAGACGGGAGCCCTTTAACATATTTACGAAAGTCAAAGGAGGTTATTCAGTAGCCATCGCGGGTTTCATTACTTTTCTTCCATTCCGTCCTTTCATGAGTCAAATGATATCGAATGATCGATTTCCCCAAGGAATTCCTATCGATTTCCGATAGATAACAATCCATCTTTCTCGCTTTCGCTCTTTTCCGAATCAATCACGAGGGTTCCAAGCTAAGGAAGTGACTGTAAAGGAAGCAACTAGTCTCAACTACTAATTTTCTAGAGTAGTCATAGCGTAGGCAACATAATAGTTTCGTCGCCGAGAAGAAAGATGTTGTGCTGGATGACTAGAATCCTCTGAGTCAACTTAACAGGCTGACAATCTTCAAAAAATGCTGAGCAAAGCTGCTGGCCTGAAGGGTGGGGTTGATCTATAACATCAACTACTAAAGAATGAGATTTTTTTTTAATAATGACGATCATTGCCTGTCATTGAAAATTCGTATTCCAAAAAAATATATAAAGTGAACATTTAATTACGCACATTTAATGAGGAACATATAATGATGAGCATTCACTACAGCAATTAAGGTTTTTTCGGACAAAAAAAAACGTCGTGAAAAGTATTAAAAACGTTGGGAAAAAGCATTCCCAACATTTTTTTTCGTCGGGAAATAGGTCAGGAAAAGGCCGTTGGGTTCAGAATATTGGATGTAACAGAATATATGACCATTTAAAATATATATTCGAGGTAGCAGCATATATGACCATTTAAAATAGGTAATTTTTAATAATGGCCAAACAACTCCCAATTTTGAAGAATCATGAATTTAAAAATAAGAGAATATCTTTATTTTTATTTTTTTTACAAAATTACCATTCACTACAAATGTTATCACAACCTGATTTTACAAGGAAATTCTACTAATCCTTTTCCAGCCCCCTTTTATACGAGGATCCTACTGAAATTAAAAAAAAACTTATAATTTAGGAAAACGAGATCTATTGAATAAAAGTCTAAAACAAAATTTAAAAAATATAATCATTATTAAAAACGATACTAAAACATTCTTAAAGAATATATAGTAAAAATTAATAAAAAAATACATATTATTAAACATAGACAAACTAACCATCAAGCTGGATCCATATTGGAGCAGAGCAAATATAATGTATTTAACATTATATAGAATGTTATGAGATAAGAAATGACAGATAAGTAGGCCACAATAATCCAAATGAGGCCCTACAAGGTGACCCACGGAGGCCCAGCCGAGCCGAGCAGGGATCGGTTTCGACCCCTACTCGGCGCTGAGTCGGGCCGGCCCAAGATCGAGCCTGTTCTTCCTCCTCTCCAGTTGCTGGAGACGTCCCTGTTGGGTGTGTTGCCCTAAACTCGTAGTTTGTATTTTGTAAAAACAAATGTCTATTTAATAAAGTTTTATTCAATAAATTTGTTGTTGAATCATAGCTTTGCATTGTCCAAAATCCAATAAACTAAACATCCAAGGTTATTTTTGATGTAATCGGGACAGTATATATACTGGGTATATAGTTGATATACGGGGTATATATTTGATATACCCCTGATATATGAATGGATAATGTCCCGTGAATAACCTAAAGGGTCTATAGTATATGGATAAGGCTGGGTGCCTTATCCTGGCAACACTATGGATACGGCCCGCTCTGTAAAGGTTATAGACGACTCGATCCAGGTCGTTCGTGTGGAGACATGCGAGTGGGGGTATCATATACAATGAGTTTGTATAAGACCGGACCGCGAAATATGCAATCTTTAGATGTAACACCTTTAACTTATAGATTGTCATTTCTTAGGATGACCAGGCAACTCATTCTCAATCCTGAGTGAGTTATGGACTTCTGCCCGTGAGGACTCGTTCTTTGATCTGTATGGGTGAGAGTGGCTCGAGTCGCCGACTTAACATTCCTACCTTTTTGGGGACGAGACCGAGTGGGGAGTTGGGAACATAATCTCATAAGATGGAATTCACTCCTCCCCGACTTTAAGGGAGTAGATGAGTGTTCCATTAAATGCTGACTCCGAGACTTGAACAAGGGGCCCCACCCTCTCATTGGCCGAGAGGGACTTCCGGTTATTGGTTGGACCATAACCGGGTTGTTCATTAGAGGAGYAGTGGTGTTTAAGGAGTAAGATGTAACTCAGGGGTAAAACGGTAATTTGACCCAACTTGAGTTACGAACACTCGTGAAGGATTGACTCGTCATTTATGGTCGTATATCCGTGGACACGAAAACATTCTGCAATGAGAAGAGTGCAACTGCGGGTCTTTAGTGGAATGACCCGTAGTTAACGAATCTAGATTAACTCGGTCAATGAGTATGACCGATTAATCTTGCATCGTTGGAGCTTCGGATCTTTAGGTCCCCTTGCTAGCTCATAACGGGTAAAACGAGGATCAAGTTTTTGGAAGAATTTGAATTGTTCAAATTATTTAAGGGATTATATGTATATTGATACATTATAATATATAGTTAATTGTGAATTAAAACTATATATTATGAGAGATATTATTTGAATGAGATTCAAATAAAATTAATAGGAATAAGATTCATATTAAAACTATAGGTTAAAACTAATGTGCATAAGATGTACATTAAAACTATAGCTTATACGAGAGTAGTGTTTTAGAATATGATTCTAATTTTATAATAAATAATTAAGTGTTAATTATTTATGTATATATATATTTATTAATTATTAATTGGATTAATAATTAATTATATTAATTAATTTGATTAATTAATTTTATATATATTAATTATTATATATATATTATTATATATATATTTTTAATTATTATTATATATTATAAATATATATATATATTAATATTAATATTAATATTAACTCCCCTGCAAAATTGCAGGGGAGTGGGGGGGTTGCTATGATGTGGGGAGTTACCCCACGTCATTGTTCTTCTTCTTCAATGGTTGAAGAAAACAGAACAAAATACGGAAAAGAAAACTTCCACCTCTCCTCTCTAAAAATTCTCTCAATCTTTCCCTCTCTTCGATCAAGGTGCTACCACAAACACGATCCCGAGACCCAAGAAGATAGCGAGGAAGACATAGTGGTGGTGTTCGAGGGAAACTCGTTGAAGAAACGTTCTTCAAAGGTAAAGTTTCCTCTGTATTTTCCTACTTTGTAATTCGATTTTGTATCCCGAAAATCAGCAATGAAAATCCGTTTCCGCTCCGGGAGTAACATCCCTTCAGTCCCAGCCCATAGGCACACATGTATCATGACTCGGTGAGCCCAACTATTGTGAGATGACCTAGGGTTGGAATTCGTGAAACCCTAGAGGGAAGATCAACGATAAATATGAAGGGGGTTACCCATTGAAGGTAAGTTAAAATACACTCAAATTACTTTGTTTGCTCAATGATTCTCCCATAGCTAACTTTGGCATCAGAGACCATGTGACAGAAGTCACACTGGTTTAGGGTTGTTCGGTTTTGCAGGTATCCGGTTCCTTGATCATCGAGTTTGGTACACATTTTGGAGAGAACCGAGAAGGCCAAAATCCAAGCATCAACAATTGGCGCCGTCTGTGAGAACGATACAAGCTATACACCCGAGCAACATGACTCCGGAAGAAAGTCCACGACGCTCTAATGACGACTGCTGTCCGAGGAGGAGGCTAAACATGGATGACCCCCTACTAGGAGGACTTGAGGACGGGACGAGCCGACTCAACTCAGAACATCGAGAATAGTTGTCTGAGGTCCCTAGGGTCGAAGTTCCTGAGCAACCATAAAATAAGTTCGTGGCTCTAGAAGAGAAAGTCAAGGGCATGTACCAATGTATGACCCAACTACTTGAGCAATTGGAGTAACGGGAGGCGAGCCTACTACCCCTTGTCAGGGACCCTCGGAATGGAAAAAGCTTGGCACTGAGCGAAGTTGAGGAATTAACAAATAAAGAGCAGAGCAGGCTAAAGTTGTGGGGGGACGATAGGTGGAGAACCCAGATTTTTTACTCGCAAGGTTAGCCAAAGGACAACAAGAGACAGCTGAAGTACCTGGTACCCAATGGGGGCAAGGAGGAGCAGAGTAACCGATGAGACCTCAGATCGATAGACCTCGACAAGGAAAAACCGATGGAACGACTCGAACTATCGGAAAAATAATTGAGCTAAAAGGAAAAGGGATTCGACCTCGAGGAGTTAGTAGACTAGGTAGATTCCATTCATGAAGGAAATCATGGAGGAGAAGGTACCCCCGAAATTCAAGCTACAAGCCATAAAGCAATTCGACGGGTTAGCTAACCTGGTAGATCATATCGACGCCTATCGAGAATGGATGGACATCTACGGAGTATTAGAGGCGATCAGATGCCTAGTTTTTTCCTTTACCCTAAGCGGGTCGGCCAGGGTTTAGTTTCAACAATTGAAGCGAGGGTCAATTTCAAGCTTCAAAAGCCTGGCTAGGGCATTCGTGACCCTCTTAGTAGAAGGGCAGAACCGAAGCCGACCAGTAGCTTACCTCCTGACCATAAAACAGAAAGCGACGGAGAGCCTTCATGACTATGTGGCTCGGTTTAACGAAGAGAAGCTACAAGTGGAAGGTTTTACTGATGCGGTGTCACTACTAGCTTTCATGTCCGGCATCAAAGATGAGCACCTATCATTTTCGTTTGAAAAAAAGACCCCGAGCACCTTTGCAGAAGCATTGAGCCAAGCCTAAAAATACATGAGTTTTGGAAAATTCTTTCACTCAAAAAAGGAACCCGAAGGAAAGCGAGCCGACCAGAAAAGAGAAAGGTCTAGTGAGAAGCAACAGGGGTCGAGGTGAGAAAAACAAGATCGAACTAGCCAAAAGAATCCGCCTCGAAAGTTCGAGAAATATACTTCTACTACAGTCCCATTTGAATAGGTATTGATCGAGATCAAGGATCAAAGGTTGCTTAGATGGCCAGAGAGGATGAAAGCACATCCGAATAAGAGAAGCAAGGAGAGATATTGCCTCTTCCATCGAGACCATGGGCATGCCACACAGGATTGTTTTGATCTCAAGGAAGAGGTGGAAGGACTTATTCGGAGAGGATATCTCAAGGAGTATGTGGAAGATCCCAAAGCAACTCTAAACAGTGAGAATGACGACAAGTCCCCTGTCAAGGAAATCCAGACAATATTTGGAGGTCCAACAGAGAGAGAGTTAGGTAAGAAGAGAAAAGCGAGCATGCAGGAAGCTAGGGCAAGCCCAGGGTATTGCAAAGTCTACCACGCATCTTTTACAGGGCAGCCCTCCAAAATCAAGTTTTCAGAGGATGAGACAACCCGCCTCTTCCATCCACATAACGACGCACTAGTTATTACCCTAAAAATAACCAATACAAAGGTGCATCGAATTCTAGTGGATGGGGGTAGCTCGACCGGCATCATCTCCCTAACGGCTTATAAAGCTATGGATTTAGGAGAAAAGGCCCTTAAAAGTAACCTCGCACCACTAGTAGGTTTTGGGGGAGAACGGGTCATCCAAAAATGTAGGATAAAGTTACCGGTAACATTCGGAAATGGGCCAAGGAACATCACTAAAATAGTGGAGTTCCTCGTCGTTGACTACTCATCCTCCTATAATGCAATATTGGGGAGGCCAACTATACATACGCTCAAGGCGATACCCTCCACATACCACAAATCTTTGAAGTTCCCAACGGATGGAGGTATAAGTGAGGTCAAAGGAGAGCAACGGGTATCGTGTGAGTGCTACTACACCTCATTAAGAGGCAATGACACAGGAACTAGAGCCTCTACCTCGAGATGATCATTGCTACTTTATCAACTGATGAAAATAGGACTTAGAGTAGATGCAACTTTTTAAGGTTGTTTTTTGTTTTACTCTTTTCTTTTTAAAGAGACTTACAGTTATGTTGTTTGATTCTGCATTTTTTGATTCAATAAAATCTCTATTACCTACATACTCGAATAAATCACTGTCACTTCTTTCCATGTACTCCTCAAGTAGGAGGCATGATGATAATATATGATTCAACATAAGTTGGAAGGAACAATTAAGGATCTCGATCAGGGCCAAACCAGAAGCGGGCCACCTGGCCTAGCACGGTTAAAACACTGTTGGGTGTGTTGCCCTAAACTCATAATTTGTATTTATGTAGAAAAAATGTATATTCAATAAAGTTTTATTCAATAAATTTGTTGTTGAATTCATAGCATTGCATTGTCCAAAATCCAATAAACTAAACATCCAAGGTTATTTTCATGTAACCGGTACAATATATATACTGAGTATATATTTGATATACTAGGTATATATTTGATATACCCCTGATATATGAGGTATATATTTGACCCAGCTTGAGTTACGAGCACTCGTGAAGGATTGACTTGTCATTAATGGTCGTATATCCGTGGACACGAAAACATTATACAGTGAGAAGAGTGCAACTGCGGGTCTTTAGTGGAGTGACCCGTAGTTAACGAATGTTGATTAACTCGGTCAATGAATTTGACCGATTAATCTCGTATCGTTTGAGCTTCTGATCTGTGGGTCCATTAGGTCCTTTGCTAGCTCATAACGGGTAGAACGAGGATCAAGTTTTTGTAAAATTTTGAAATATTCAAATTGCTCAAGGGATTATATGTATAGTGATACATTATAATATATAGTTAATTCTAATTGAAACTATATATTATGAGAGAAATTATTTGAATGAGATTCAAATAAAATAAAATTAATATGAATATGATTCATATTAAAACTAGATGTACATTAGATCTATAGGTTATACAATAGAGAATATGGTTTAATTAAATATGAGATATTTAATTAAATGTTAAATAATTAATTGTTAATTATTTAATATCACATTTAATTAATTAATTATTAATTTGATTAATAATTATTTAATATTTTAATTTTAATTAATTAATGTTATTAATTATTAATTCCGCTGCAAGGGAGTGGGGAGTTTAATGACGTGTGGTAACTCCCGACGTCATTTTGGTTTTGGTTTTGAATGCAGAACTATTCTTCTCGATATACACAAGAAGAAAAACCACAGAACTCCCAAGAGAATTTTCTCTCCATCTCAAGCTCTCTCAATTCTCCCTCTCATTCCAAATCGGTGCTCCCACAAGCACGATCTCGAGACCCAAGAGGATAGCACGGAAGACTCTCTAGTGGTGTTCATTGGTTACTCCATTGAAGAAAGGTTCTTCAAAGGTAAACAACTTTTCCCCTGTGTTTTCATGTTTGCACACGTTTGATTTTGTTTCTCAAAATTGATGAACAAAGATCCGCTTCCGCTCCGGGTTTCACATCTCATCAAACACAAGGCGGAGCAAAAAGCCAAAAGTCAAACGACAACGAGACTAAACGGTATAAAACCGCTGGCCATAGCCAATGAGTTAGAAACCTATGAAAGTTAAAGGCAGGCAAAATCAGCTCCGCCAAAGTTAGAGCTTTAAACCGATGAAACCAATGGTAATGCTTAAAGAGACTTAATTGATAATTCCAACAACAACTACCAACAAGATAACAGAAAACAACAGCAGTAACAACATAACAGACAACTTTTCAAAACACGCAATGCGAACGACTTGACCCATTACTTCCCTGCTCCTTATCGTCGTCATCCATATCATCGGGGCATCACATTTAGTCTTAAGTGCTCTTGGAGAAATGAGTAGTCGATGCCAGGGTGTTCGTTGGAAACTTGGCGAAGAGACCATAAGACGCCATATTCCATGGCTGCATTCTGCAGGTTGACATAGTCCTAGTTCTTCTTAAACTCCTCGACCATAAATTTGGAGTTGGAGAGCTGAGTGTTGACCTCATCAAGCTTCCTCTGCAGATTGGCCAGTTAATCTTGAGATCTCATTCTCTCAGTTTCCAGGTCATGTTGAGCATTCTCTAGTAGGCTGTTAGGCTGGTTCAAAGAAGCAAGAGCTCGGTCCAACTCATCCCGAGGGGCATGTGGCGAAGGAGATGGTTAATTTCATCAGCAACCCTACCTGAGAACACGACCAAGCGATTAAAAATCTGCCAAAGCCAAAGACAAACATTAGACTATGTGCAGCGACAGATACCTAAAGGTAACTGCAAGAGCCGACCTGGTGGAGATCTCTAAGGCGGGTATTAATGTTGTGTTGGGGGTTCGAATAGCCAAAGTTCGACCCACTCGACGATTCCCCAAGTCCCTGCCAAAGGCTAAATGCCCTCTCCAGATAAGTTGCCCCGTCGGCATCTGCATCATATGGGCCAGAGAAAGGAAAAATCGACGCCTGGAAGGAAGACCCTGGGTGACCGCAAAAGGAAGATGGACTGGATGTCCCTTGAAGCCGAGTAGAACAACGAGTTACGGCAGGAGGCATCGAAGGCAGAGCCTGATGCTGAGATGAGAGGTCATCTTCGGTTAAATCAGTCACTCGACGTTTGAAGCCCGAGTGGATCTGGCTCCCGAGCTCCGAACATTTCGTCGGCGCTCCCTCTCGAACAAGGAAGTGGCTCGTCTTGACATTTCTACAAAAAAGGTACGAGAGTGAAAATCGACCGGGATGCAAATTCATGATAGCTTCCAACAATTACCTGAAGATTGACGATGGGGAGCCAAGCCAAAATCTACCAAGTTTTGTTCATTCACTTAGTCTGGGTCCCACCCGCTTGATATCTGGTAATTGAATGACAGTATGGTAAAAATTCAACGCTTCAGCGGTGAGTTCGTAGTTATAGGAAGATGTCAACAAAAAAGAGGGGATTTTAGAACATGACATGAGAAAGTCCCGATAGAGCTGGAGAATCTACTCACCTAGCTCCCTACACTCTGTCGGGGACAGGAAAATATAATCCTCGGTCATCCTAAGCTAGCCAGTCACCACCGACAAGGAACCACTCATCCTTCTAGTGCTTTTCCGAAGAAGGACCTATGATGAGAATTTGGTTGCAAAAGCTAATATAGAAATGAAAATTGTCATCGGGGCTATGTTTAAGATAGTAATGCGACATGAAGTTGGCCGCTGTTCAGGTTTTGTCACCCCCAAGGTAAGACTATAAGATAAAGCAACTAATTAAGGTGGACCACCCATTAGGGACGATCTGGGAAGGAACTAATTGATTGAAAGCTAAACAATTTTGAAGAAACAATGGTAGAGGTAAGCGGACACCGAATTTGAACATGGCCGCATAAAATACGACCTTCCCAGGGAAAGATCAATTAATACTCTCTCTAGGATTCGAAAGGTGAAGACTAACGGAATCTGGAATGGGGTATCTCAAGCGAAGAGGACGTAAGTCCCTTGCTGTAAGCGTGGAATTGTCCATCCAAAAAGGATGATACGACCTAGATTCGGAAGAAGGGTTCAATGATGACTCATCATCCGAGGTAGTCCACTCGAAATTCAGGTCGTTACCGGATGCCAGAGACAAAGGAAAGCAACAAAAGATGAGAGGAGAGGAAAGGTTACCTCGAGTGAAGGAGATGAACAATATGTGAAGGAAGCTAGGGGGTTTATATAGTCCCAAAAACAAAGAAGCACGGCTCGGACCGATGGTCTTTGACTATAAGGTCAAGGCCTGCTCAGCTACCAGTGGTCACGGGTCTGAGCATGATGAGAAGGATCACGGCCTGATACGACTACACTCTCACTGGCTCCAACATTTCTCGGCTCGGCAGCCGAAGAGGGAGACCATCTCGGTCACGGGTTAGACCGAGATGCAACAGCTTGATGACGGATGGGACCAGACAACCAAGGGTCAATAATGCCAGCTTTTATAGCACACCTACAAACGTACTCTGAAAGTGATGAGACCAGACAACCGGACGTGCATCACTTCGAAAGTAGGGGCAACTGTTATGAGATAAGAAACGATAGATAAGTAGGCCGCAATAAGCCAAAAGAGGCCTTGCAAGGCGACCTACAGAGGCCGAGCCGAGCTGAGCAGGGGTCGGAGACCGAGCCCGTTCTTACTCCTCTACAGTTGCTGGAGATGTCCCGATCCATTGGCCGACACATATCATTACTCGGTGAGCCCAACTATCGTTAGATGACCTAAGGTTGGAATTCGTGAAACCCTAAAGGGAAGACCAACCATATATATGAGGGGGGTCACCCATTGAAGGTAAGCTAAAATAGACTCGAAGTACTTTGTTTGCTTAGTGATTCTCTCACAGCTGACTTTGGCATTGGAGCCCGTGTGACAGAAGTCACACTGGTTTAGGGTTGTTCGATTTTTCAGGTATCCAGTCCCTTGATCATCGAGTTTGGTGCGCATTTTGGAGAGAAGCGGGAAGTTCAAAATTCAAGCATCAACATAGAAAATATTTGTTTTGTATACCCAAAGCCATGTGTGCTTGACATAAAAAATTAATAAAATAAAAAAAAATCGTATATCTTAGAAAAAAATTAAAAAGGCTTCATTTGTTTGATAACCCCAAAAAAGAAATTGAAGAGACTTCTTCAACCTCCAATCCCTGGTGATGCGAACGACTGGAATCTCAACAATAATTATCTCTTTATTCAATCGATTGGAAGAAACTCGAAGATTGTATATACATCACACAATCAACTGGGGTAACACACCATAAGAAACATTCCTCTGTAATGTGTTGAATGATACTCATAAAAAAACGCCTGAAGTTGTAATAAGAAGAACTCTCATTAACACTTCCTATTTTTTTCATAAAAGCACTTTCTCCAAGTCGAACTTCAATGACGCTTCACTAACGTAATTTTGAATAAAAATACTATCTTTTTCAGCTTACTACTACTGGGTGTTTGACATACACGACAACTCTAGTTATATGG